TCATAACATCATTACACCATTCGATTTTTACTTGACCGTATACTTACGTGTATGTAATGAGTAATATACACAGTATGGAGAAACTTATATAATTCTGCGAGAAATCGATTCCGAGATTTCAACGGAAACCATGTGGGGGTCCTCTGACGCGTGTCCCGCGCGTGAGTGCTCTGGGCCTAAACGACTGGCTCGGTTGCAGCCCAAGTGACATTAAGAAACTTTCTTCATATTTTGGGGGTACTTAAATGAAGCCTCTGGGACCAATCTCTTCTTTAAATTTCTTGTAAGACAAGGGTGAAAGACGGTTTTGAAGATGACATATAGCCGATTTTCACTTTTCACTCCGAACTATTAGTAATTTTAAAATATTCATTTTTAGGCGACCCTACCATTAAACAATATTGAAGATAGCGTTTTTTCTTCAAATGAAGATTGTTCTCCAGAATTAGCCTTTTCATTAGCGTCATGTATATTTTTTGGAACTGTAAACAGTTTGCGAGCAATGATAAGAGAAAATGGACCATGTTAAAAACAATATTTTCTCGAAAAACCGCTCCAAATTTTATTAACATTTTTGTCTGGATAGTGCTAAATGCACTATATAAGATGTCATGAACGCCAATTTGCGGTATTATTTTGTTTCTTCAAAAATTACATAAATGTAATGTTTTTTGTAGCTCTCTGTCGTTAATATTTTTATTACCGCTGATATGTACACAATATGCTTTTTTAGTATATCTGCTTCACGTGAAGTCAAACAAAGTTTCTAGAAAACTTGAACTTTTTGTGATAATGAGCTCCAAATTGAGTATTTTCAAAAAGGCTCAAACGTCATTTTCTTAAAGAAATGACTTTGGGCACCAATAGATGGCAGCTGAGGAGAGTGTCAGAACCGAAAAACAGTCAACAGTGACCGACGAGGAAGGCAGTACCATTCCGTAGACCCCTGGTTTTTGATAGCGATACGCAATCGGCCGGGTCATGGGTCTTTTAAAAGCATTAATCAGAACGAACACTCGCGCAACATAAATAACCATGTCTGCCTTCCGCTTGATGTGAATGGTCCTAGCAGTGTGGAGTTGGAAGTTTCAAGGTGACGAGTCCGCCCGTGTTAGCCGGGACAGTCTCTTATTTCCCTCCTCGGCATATTTTTGAAAGAAAAACTCTGAAACAATAGCTTGTCAACATTAATCAATTTATCATACCATATTCCGTTTGCTTCGAAGCTGTTTATAACAATTAAGTGCGACAAGATATTGCGCTCAGTTACCACGGAGTAAGTGTTGGACGGTCGGTTGTGGTTTCTAGGAAGAGGAAATGCAGTTATGGCGTCATTTCGGTATAGACATAAGGGTGGTGGCTTGGATAAACGAACTATTACGTGAGAGAAAACAGAACGTTCGAATCGGCAGATAACCTCCGCGAGTGTTACGTCAGGGATTCCACAAGGAAGTGTCATTGGACCTCTCATGGTTCTCGCCTTTGTGAATGACTTGCCAAAATAGCTTCAAATGTACGACTCTTTGCCGATGACTGTATCATCTATCGGATTATAAAATCAGAGGAGGACGTAAATATTTTGTAGCGAGACAGAAAAATTACACTCCTGAGCAGAAACAAACGGCATGGAAATAAACAGTTCAAAGAGAGAAGACATCACGTTTGATAGAGGTCGATGTTATGGCGAAACTGCGTACAAATTGAACAACAATGTCACACCTATAGTCACTTGCAAATATTTAGGAATACAATTAGACAGTAAATTAAGCTTGGAAAATCAAGTCAATTTCGTTGTGGAGAAAGCTTGCAGATCTTTATATTTCGTCATGCGAATCCCAAAGAGGAGTACAGTGAGAAGTAAAGAATTAGCTTGTATGTCACTAGTGCGACCCGTCTTAGAAAATGGTGCGGTGTGTTGGGACCCGAACAGAATACCGCGACAAGGTATTCTAAAAAAGCTCCAGCGCAGAGCATCAAAATTCACTTTCAGGGGTACAAAAAAATAGGTCTATGGGAGCAACTCGGACCATGCTATGTACAAAGCATACACAGGCCATGCGGCTTGGAATAAAATTAACCGACGTCGTGCAGAAAATTAAGACAAGAATACGGCAAACGGACGTTGGGAAATTTTCATTCACAACCCGATTAGAGACTGGAACAGTTTGCCGACGACAATCTTTGAACCCTTTCGTCGAAGCATGAGAAAATTTAGAAATAAATTAATTTTCTAGCTATTTACGTATGTTTTAAGTCATTGTATTACTATTAAGTTGCTACTGTTAAATTAGGAGTATTTCCTAATACGTACGTTTGTTTAATTATTTTAGTAGCAGTTGGTTATTATTATTTATTATTATTATTATTATTATTATTATTATTATTATTATTATTATTTATTATTTACCATTTATGCATGGCAGTGCAGTGTTGTGTTATGAAGTGAAGAGAAAAATGTGGAAGAAATGCATCATAGTTAAGTGTAGTGCAGTGCAGTGATGTGTAGTAAGGCTTGCGCGGTGAAATTTTGTACTATTTATTATTAATTATTGTTTTTAATTAACTACTCTTTGGTTATTTATTATTAATCAAAGTAAGTAATTCATGTAAACACACTTTGTCACAAAGTTGGGATACTTAATTGAAGAATTAATAATAAAATAATCTAATTAAACTTGTATATGCTTTATCCCTAACGATATTGTTATTGAAGAATTCAATTATCGATCCTTCTGCTTCTGAGAGTTTCTGTGCGACTTGATGTGAACACTTATCATTGCAAATTGAAAATAAATTGGTACATAAAATATTAATGTGCAATCTTAATTGAAAAATACTGACGTACTTCGTAATGAATGAAAGTGCGACTTAAACAAATGCTTATTTTTTTTAAATTTTTTATGTTCCTTTCTAAGGGATTCTTTCGTTTGCGTGAACTGAATGCCACTATATCATGAACGTTATACGTATTTATGAATATTAATTTATTTAACGTTAATTTCCAAACCTAATTATTAGGAATAAAATTGTGTTTAACGTCCTCTCTTTCTCTAAAATATCTTCTTTTTCTGATTTCAGAATATGGTCCTCTTATAGTTTCCCTGAATTTCAAGTAAGCTACTTATGTTAAAACAATAAAAAATGAAATGCACTTCCCAATGGGGGAAAGTGGGCACAAAACATGGAAAAATTGTCATTGTGAATCCCATCTTTATTACCACGAAAATTGCATAATAAAATGCCTGGCCCTAGAACGTCGGAAATTGTGATGGAATTGATTTTTTGTGAAAAACACATGAAATCTAGAAATTAAAGAGTGGCATCAATGTTTATGCTTCAAATGTGAAAAATAATTAGCTTCTCATCATTTACTTTTACAATAGAAGAAAATGTCGTATTTGAATGTGTTCCATATGGAATGCGGATGGACTAAAATTATAGGGATGGAATCGGGCGGGTATTAAAATTACCCAAGTTGTCAAAAAAAGGAAATTTAGTTAACATTAGTTTCGATCAGCAACATAGTGTAACCCAAGAATAATTCTTAACAATAACATTCTACTTCATTAAATATTCTTTACTTTCTGGGTAAAAATTCCGAATGAAAAATGGGCTAATCGTGTTTCCCCGACCTCTTATTCCTTTAAATATCATACATTTTACATATTATTACATGAGCCTATTTCTGTATAATATGAAATAGTATAAATATGTTTGTGCGGACGAGGCAGAAGACCGAAGGAGGAGGAGCTCGGGGACAAGCGACCGGGAGCTTTTCAGCTTCTCAGCCACTTCTGCGATCCTATTTGCACAGCCGTTGCCAGCACGACTCCCCTTGTTTGCAGATAACTAACTAGAGAGAACCAACTCTAAACACAAATGAAAAGTGGAATTGCAAAGATGTTAGGCGCCGAAAGCGCTACGTACTTACTTTTATTCTGAAAGCGTTAATTAAATACTTTCGCGGAGTGTATGTAACAAACACACTGTTCCAAGCCTAATAAGTTGGAAGATCGCAATCTTACATTTATGTAGAAACATGTTTGGAAATATGTAATAAATTAACCTTTTGTCAATAAATAAGAAGTACGTTTGGCATCCAGCCCCTTTCAAACGGCCTAACTTCAAGTGTGCCGGATTCCTCATAGAAATAAAGTACTTTTTAGGGAGTTTCGAGATTTGCAAAATCGAATAATGAAAGGCTTTTACGTGACGTTTTCCCCTTCCCCGTAAATTCCTTATGGCGCCCGGAATACTGCGTGGGACGGGGTGGTCTCCATGGCGACGCCGTTTGACGTAAACCCTTGAATGCGCGGGTGGCGGGAATCGATCGGGGCCCTCCCGCGCGCCTGCGCCGTGGCCGCGCTGGATGAACGCGACCCAACGCGCTTTCATTCAGAAAGTCGGCGCCTTTTCCCCCCAGAATCCAGCAAAGCTGTCAACGCCCCCGGAGCCGCACCTGTTTGCGAAGCACTTGGCGCGTTGGCACGTTCGCCTCTCTGTCCGCTGGGGACGTTTACTTGTTGAACGTTTGCTGCCATATGTTGCGCTTTGATGCTGTTTCGATAGCAAGGGTCGTATGGCCTTTTTTATCTCGCAAACTCTGCGACAGTTGCATGTCCGTTTCCGCCGGGATCTACCTGCACACAGGAAGTAACGAAACCCACGACCGCCGGAAGCCAAGGATTCTGGTGGGTAAACCTGGCGCCGTACGTGCGTTGAAAATGCAATTAATGGTATATAAATACATGCGCTGTATTATGGATGCGTTTAAAAAAGGAACCAAAAGAGCAAATTATGTCATTCGCGGGTTACTCGATTACGACTGCAGCAGCAGCAGCAGCAGCGCCATTTCTTGTTTGAATGACAGTACCGGGAAGAGAAGAAAGCGCCGCCACACAAAGAGCGCCTGTGCCAGGCGTGGCGAGCTCCGCTGTCAGCGCGCCGCAATGGCTTCGAGGAAACGCGAGCGGGCGGGCGGGCGCGCCAGGCGGACTCACCCTGTTGGGGCGCACGTTGGGCATGAGCAGCGAGTACTTGTCCACTTTGTAGGCGGCCGCGCCGCAGGGCCAGAGCGGCAGCGCGAGCAGCAGGGCCAGCATATGGCGCAGCGCCGCCTCCATCTTGGCTCCGTGCGAGGCCGAGCTGCGCCGCGCGTCGCTGCCACTGCCGGACTGGCGGCGGCGGCCAGGCCACCTCTCTCCCCAACGCCGCTGCCTTCCCCCTCCACGGCCCCGCCGCGCCGCCTTCAAACGCTGCGCCAGCCGCGCTGCGCCCCGGGCCTGCCATTCCAATGTGTGTGTTAATCATCTCTGATATGTTGGATTCATCTTCTTCCCGAATAGCAGAACAACTACATATTAAGGTCAAATGCAACCCGCCACACACCCGGCAGGGCTTTTTGAAACGGTATCGTTAAATAACTCCTAAACATAGCGTTCTAGGGCATTAAAAACTTAAATTTTGAGCCCGATGGTCTCAAAGAAACGTTTCTCACACCGTAATCTACAGGACGAGATCTTTATGAACATTATTTTACATTTTTGCTGAGGGGGGAGAGGGGGAGACGAAGAGACATAATGGGAGATGAAGGGCAGAACAACGTCTATGGGGTTCACACACGCGCGCGCGCACACCCACACACACATATACATAAATTAGAAAATTTTAATTTGTTAAATAAATAATTAATAAAATTTAAATTGTGTTTAACTTGTTAAAAATCTCATAAAGATGAAACATCAGGCCGTATCAATAATAACACAGTCCTATCAGTAGTGGTGCTTGTAACACCCCTTCCTGATGATATTAAGTTGGAGATGCTGACATCTCTTCCTTAAGCCAAATGGTGCGCGGGGGAGGGGGAGGTCGGAGATCCAGAGAGTTGATGTCCTCCGCTTCGTTTTCGAAGCAACTTTCCACACCCACGCCCTGGTGTCCAACGGGAGTAATCCTGTCCTCATCAATCGCCTCTTATTCCTGCGGCCAGGGGCTCGGCATCGTTAGAACCCTGCGTTCCCAGGAACCCGTCATGTCTTCAGGCCCTTAACCTCTTTGACTTCACGGTGCGCAGTTAAGTAATTCGGCCAGTGACGCCGCAGAAGTATGGCTTTTGAAAGTTCCATTCTGGAGAAAACTACGAATACGCACTCCGAGCCAAAGGTATTGAAAATAAGATACTTAGACAACATGAATATTTTTATTCATTTCTGATAATTATTTCTCTTCTCAAATTAAATTTTTTGATCTTATATCATTTCAAGGAACAATGACCGTACGATTTCCAGTGGGACGTCGCCCTGGGTGCTAAGTGCTAAATTTTAGTCATGTTAATTGTCGCAACAGAATTTTACTTTATATATATATATATATATATATATATATATATATATATATATATATATGATTGCTAGAGCCTATTTTTTACCGACATTTTCGACGCTCTCCACACTAGAGTCTCAAAAAGCATGTAAATTTCTAACAGCGCGAAAGTACAATATTTAATGTGCGCAAAATTATATCTCCAAGGACTCTGAGTTCACAGGTAACAACAACCTGTTGCTACCTATGGTTCGATACCTAAGAACGGGTATTGTACCTACGGACAGCCTTATGAGTACAACCCACATCAGTTAGATTAGATAAAGATACAAAAAACCAGCGTATATTTCTATAATTCTTTTAAAAATTTTCAGATAGTTTAATAGATAAACTTTGTAAAAATTGAACACAGGCGTTATTTACGAATAGATATTTTATGTTTACGAATATATATTTTGTCTGTTTTATTTTATAAACAGTTTCTAATTAGTTTTTTTTTTCTTTTCGGGAGTATCCGTCAGAATTTGTGATGCCCTTTCTTTTCTCCCTCGGCCATTAATTTTGTAGGGAGGCGCTGTAGAAAAATGCCTCAATATTCCAAGTGTTACCAAGACAGGTGAAGACGGAGAGATGAGATTTGAAGATGTGAGTGCTGGAGGAGATAAAGCAGTCAGGATGGCTCGAGGTCCTCTTGGCTGTCTATCAGATGTACTTGGCCGGCTGTGAGATGTATTTGGCTGGCTGTCAGGTCTGGATACTCAACCTTCACTAACATAATTGACTTGGCGGCCAGTTACATATGACGGCACAACGGCGTAAACTCGTTTCCCTAAAAAATGTCATTATTCAATTGATACAGACCAATGGATATGGACGCGTTTCGATATGCACAGCCATCTAACTCAGCTACATCATAGATATTCACAGTTCTCTTGTTTCGTGAGTCACTAGAGGATAACTCATTCAATGGCCTAGCCAACAAATCAGCCATAACTTTGATGTAGTAATCCTTGAAGAACCAAAACAGTTCTATTGAGCGGCTGCAATTTGTGAGAAGTATGTGGATGGAAAGTAATCATAGTTATCCGTACATATTTAGCTTTCTGAATTATAAGATAGCTTACATGGTTATCCACATTGTCGAGTTTAGGATAGGATAAACCATGGTCGGTTTGGTGTGTTGTACAAAAAGAAATTCTGAAAACATTTTCATTCGACCATTCCAACTGACTGGCAGCACCATCGGAACAAGGCGGAGCTTCTTTTAGCACGATCTGTTACAAATGTACTCGTAGAAACACAAAAAAAGAAGGAAGCTACAGCCAGACGCTCGATTTTTTAATAATATTTTGCCCTCGTTCAGTAGTTGTGATCGCCCTTACTTGTTTAAAACCTGTAAGTTCCAATGTTTTTGCATTATCTTGGACAGTTGTCACTCCTGTCTCATTCAAGTTCCAGATTCGACAGGGTAATGAGACATTCGATTTTGTCAACGCTGATATATAATTATTGAAAAGCTGTAGCCAGACTCCTTCATTCTGGATTTCTTCAGCTGAGTGCATCAAGATGACGCTGACAAAATAGGCGGTACCACGTTTCACCAGCTTCTTCCTTTACATCCCATGATGGACATTTCATTTTATTCACTTTTGGAAAATCATTAGCATCATTACAATTTTGCGTAACGGTTAGTGAGGCGAGAAAGTCCGTGCTGCTGTAGCATTACAAGTTTCTCTTCTATCTTTTTTCAGGTAAGGATTTACGTCTTCATCGTATATGACTTTTATTGTATTAGGACGTTTCCTAACTCTTTTAATGGTTTCGCCTTTCAACGCTTCTCGAGTGTTTGCAAATCGACTTGAAACAGTTGCCATGCGTAATCGCCGCCTCAAAAGTCCAGCAACCTCTTACAGCCAGGCATGCCCGTAAACACGTTGAAACTGTATGTTAGTATCTGTCAATGTAGATAATAGCTCTGCAGAGTGAATCTTGAACTAATTCTTTAAAAAAGGAAAGAAAGATATGAAGAAAGTAGTGGAGAAAGATAGAAAAAAGAAAGGACGAGATTATCTGCGTCCCGGCAGAGAGAACATGTTCAGAAAATGTTCAAAATGCCATGTCCCGTCTTGTTGCAATAACTGAAAACATTTTTAATACAAACTTGCCGAAAATTATTGAAATATATTTCTAAAGAGAAGTTAAGATAATTCTTAAATGTGTTTAATTTCCTTTCAGTTAACTTGCAATTTTGATAAGATGTTACCGACTGAGTTAGAGAAGGCCTGATAAAGCTGTTTAATGTTTATAAAATATATTGTACTCGAATACTATTCAACGTATTTTATCACGCGATTCAGAAGCAAAATTAACTTGCAATTCGTGATAACAATTTAATTTTACGTGGTAATGATATAGAACAAGTGCAAAGAAGTACAGTGTTTTTTCTTTGTTATTTAAGGTCGCATCAACTTCTAGGCCATTAGGTATCACTATTGCGTGTAACGTGCATGATAACTGTGAGGATGACACGAAATGATGATGATAGCGGGTGAAAGGAGGAACACAACACAACCATGCCCGAGGCGGGACTCGAACCCGCGATCTAAGGCACTACTGCCTTAGTGATCTCGGCCATCCGAACCGATTAGAGTGTTATTTTGATTATCTATATATATAAAAGAAAGTCGTGTTAGTTACTCCACTTATAACTCAAGAACGGCTGACACCTAATTTAGCTGAAAATTGGCAGGGAGGTAGTTAGAGCCAGGAGAAGGACATAGGATACTTTTTATCCGCCGTTCGACAGCATTCCCGGTGTGACTTGACATGAAACGTCAGTCACTATATAAAACGTGGTATAACAAAAAAGAATCAGACTTGGAATAAACAAAACGTAAATGACAGCTATGTAATTGACATATAATGACAGATATGTAATGACGTATGGATGACAATTTGATATTTGTAAGAAAAATATAAAAAATAAATAAATATATAAAAAAAACGCATAAACGTGCATTACAAGCACTTAACCGAACATTAAAAGATTTACGCAATGACTCGAGATGTTTTGGAGGAGCATGATTTTACTGTCTGGCGATTTCCGCCAAATACTGCCAGTAATTTCAAGATCTACGGCTGCCGACGAAATAAACGCTTGCCTCAAATCGTCAAATCTATGGCGCTATGTGAAGAAACTGCAACTGACAACAAACATGAGAGTTACATTGCTTAATGATACATCTGCTGAAGATTTCTCGGAGCAATTGCTGACTATCGGTAATGGTCAAGTACCTGTCGATGAATCGAGCGATTAATATCATTTCCAAATAATTTCTGTAATTTTGTCTCATCAAAAGACGAACTTATCAACAATGTATTTCCAGAAATTATTTCTAACTACAAAAAGAATGAATGGTTGAGTGAGCAAGCAATTTTAGCGGCTAAGAATAAAGATGTAGATGACCTAAACTACATAATTCCAAATTAAGATCATCGGAACAATGCATTCATTCAAATCTATTGACTACGTCAACAAATGAAGGTGAAGCCACCAACTATCCAATTGAATTTTTAAAACTCTTTGACGTGCCTGGCTTACCACCGCACGATTTACGCCTAAAGGTTGGCTCCGTAGTAATCATGCTTCGAAACATAAACCCACAAAACTGTGCAACGGTACGCGTTTGGTGGTTAGAAAATTGATGAACAATGTAATTTACGCTACGATAATGATAGGAAAATTCAAAGGTGAGGAAGTTTTCATTCGCGAGGATACCGATGATCCAACCGATATGTCGTTTGAATTTAAAAGACTTCAATTTCCGATACGTCTTGCATTTGCCATGACCATCAACAAATCACAAGGCCAATCCTTAAAAGTTTGTGGTTTAAATCTAGAACATTCATGTTTTTCCCATGGTCAATTATACGTGGCATGTTCACGGGTCAGAAACCATCTGCGTTGTTTGTTTTTGCGCCTGATAATAAAACAAAAAATGTCGTGTATCACAAGGTACTTAAATGAAGAGCAACCTATGTACTAAATACAGAAATAATTATGAATGATTAATGTAGGTATTTAATTTTTTTGTTTTTTTTTTCAATTAAAAAAAGCTGCTTATTTATTGCCATTAAGGCGGAACAAAGTTTCGCCGGGTCAGCTAGTCAAAATAAAAATAAATACATTTTTCTGTCAACACAGAATATTTCGGGCCATTATCGCATTGTGACTTTTTAATAAAAACGTTTAATCTACTTAAGTATAAACTATTTAGAGACGTGAAGATGTAAATCAGATAAATCGAACAACACGAATTTACAATTTTTACTTGCACCGTATTTGAAAAACTGCACATCATATTCATTTTTACAAATTTTTTCGGTTATTATCAAATAATAAAAAGTAGTAACAGTAAATTAACGACTTCACACATGTGAACAATATACTAGATGAACTATATATCCAAAGGCTCTAAGAGGTCGTTCAAAACAGACTGTTAAACAACAATAGACAACAACACAGAACCTTTCCAACCGTCCATCAGCGAAAGCAAAAACACAAACACATTAACCAATCACGACTAAAACAAATTTCTGTATTTGATTATGTCAATTAGTTTCCTTGCCTTCCCAATCTTCACTATCCCTTACACAATCGACTCGTCCACTCCTAAGCCAACGCAAAGACGCTAGCAAGCCCAAAGAAAAAAAATCGCCCGAAGAGTGCGCTACCTGGCCCACCAGTAAATAACGACATTCTCACTGACCCTCCCAAAAAGGTACCGACTTCCAAAGATAGCCATGAGCCGACATCTCCCTGCTCAGTAGGAAACTGCCATCTGTCACGGGAGCGCCTTAAACCTAACGGGAGGTTTGCCGTGTCCATTGAATTGGACCAGCCATTCAATTGACAGCTACAAACTCTCGCCAAACGGGATACAGTCTTCGTCGTAAGAGGGCAGAATAACATTAATTTGGGTGGTCACTTCACACCTGCCAACATGTTGACAAAATACAACGCGCCGCCCAAACACGAACATTATAATCGCGATTCTGCCCTTCTCGTTCAACAAGCCAACCCAGAGCAAATATATTCGAGACTCAAACAACCAGTTGAAACGGCATCTGGAGAGTACAAATGTTGAACTATTTGAGCTAAACTCTCTGTCAGAAACTCTTCACCGGGCCTGGTCTTCACCTGAACATTGTTTCAAAACATGCACTTAGCATCGAGCTTCCAAACCGCGCCTTCACATCTGCGGCAGTGCCCTGCCCAAGAGCCAACCCCACCCCATTTCCTAGTTCTCTTCCATCCTCCATCCTCGTGAACAACCTCTCCCGTTATTCATTCCGCTCCAACTGTCGCCCATCTGCCTCAATCGTCACTGCTGGGACACTACCTTCTTCGCCCAAGCAGTCGTCATTACGTACGCAAAAAATTTTCGACACGATGTTTATTTCCGAAATTTTTAACGAAATCTTACAAAGTAGTCAATGAACTAAAAATAAATATTCATCTGGTTTAGATGAATTTTCGGATTGATAATTGAAAACTTGTGTACCTGCCTTTATAAACAGTTAACTCACATTTTCAATGCTTCTTAATGCAAGGAATATTTCGAGATGTTTTCAAATCAGCAAAAAATAAGCCACTTTTAAAAAAGAGAGAAAAATGAAATTCAAAATTACCGGCCAATTTCTCTTTAATCAGTTTTCTCGAAAATATTAGAGAAACTTTTCTATACGCGAATGGAAACTTTTTTCAGGAAAAACGAAGCGTTTTCAGACTCACAACACGATTTTGGAAAATCAAAATCTACGGAAACTGCCATTTTTTTCTTTTCTTAAAGATGTTGCTTCGTCAATGGACCAAAATGAAGCACCCATTGGAATAGTTTTAGATCTTTCGAAAGCTTTTGACGTTATTGACCATAACATCTTGCTATCAAAATTACTTTCTTATGGAATTCGTGGTATCGCCCTAGATTGGATAACCTCGTACCTTAAACATCGAAGTCAAAGAAGACGAAATACCGTACTGGCACGAAAGGACATTATTTACTTATGTTTCCAATTCTTTACCAATTGAGTACGGGGCCCCGCATGCTCGATCTAATGTCCCATCCTCTTTCTGTTATATGAAAACGATATGCCCTCGCCTATTAAAAACTGACGAACAATTCAGATTGCCGGTGACACGAATGTTGTTTTTTAAAAAAGTATCAAAAAATAATGCTATTTCAGAAGTTTCAAATTGGTTTTGTAATAACAAATTAATAGTTAACGAAAAAACATTCCAATGCATTTTGTATTTCGAATTAGTAATCGCATGCAATAAATGCACAATACAATGTAACAAAATTTCTAGGTCTTTCAGTTCAGTGAAACCTCAAATGGGATGTACATATAACAGAATTAAGCTTAATTAAGTACATTATGTTACGCATTCAGAATTCTTTCAAATTCTGTCAGCCTTCATGCAACTCGTTGCATGTATTTTACAAATCAAATCTCAAAAACCGGCCTTTACTAATGTAGGAACAAAAGTATTGTAATCTTGCCCCGGAAAACGGCGAATTTTCGACACAAAAACTCTGAATGTCGGACCCTGGTAACGAAAAAGTAAAACAACCCACTTGCTGAATAAAGGAAAAAAACTCGTGGTGTAGCCAGATTGCGCGTCCTTGTCATCGAAAATTCGATTGTCGGCAAAACTGTGGCCCTCTGTACACAAAGCTAGTATTAGTAGTACATAAGCGGCCTTCTTCAGATATGATGTCCCAATCGAACGTTGATTTCACCGCTCCTGGAACTTGAAACCTATATTTTTATTTTTTAAGGGGGGGGGGAGTACTTTACATTAAGCTCCTCGGACATATTCAGGAAATGACTGAGAAGTTCATTGTTTAATGGCGAGATAAGATTAAGCGGTTTTAATTAGAGTTGTTCTTGTGTTATACGTTTACAAATTATACTTTTTAGAAATTATTCAAAACCTATTTGATTTTTTTTGTCGTGTTGCAAAGTATAGAGCATACATATTTTCACTGGAAAAAAAGGTCGCCTATCTCTGCATATTTCAGCACTTCACCATGTTATAGTCTTTCAAAAATTCTATTAAGAAATAGAACGGCGATTATAGGCTTTTTTATTTTAAAAATGAAGTTTGCATTTTGGGTAAACATTTTGTGAGTTGAAAATTAAATAAGGGTTTCCAAAACTTAATGATTTACTTTATATCTTAACATAATAAACACATTGCTGATTCTCAGCAATACATTGTTAAAGGGTTCATTTTACTATTTTAAAAGTTTATTATATTAGATGAATTTGGACAAAGACACTAGTTTATAAACATTTTTGATATAAAAACACTGAATCACATTATTACAAATTTTAAAGTTTTATTTCCCTGCACTTCATTAAACATGGTTTTAATATATAATAAGGGGGTAATAAATTAAATTAATTTTACAAATCATAGAATATTAGTAATTTAATTAGTTTATTAGTATTAGCGTTATTTTTTTTTAAAAGTAAGAAATTACTTCTGTTACTGACTATAGAAATGAAAGCAGATATGGATGAGCAGAGATGGACAAGCGTTTTGTTCGAAGTGGTCATTTTTAAGTTATAGCTGAGGTGTTAGTAGCACAGAAATGGCAGTATTTCAATATTATGTAGCAGTTTCCAACAATGTGAAAAAGTTTGTGGTGCTGAAGCTCCACTAGTTTTTCAACGTGGTCTAGCACCTAAACCATTCTTCACAAAATTAAAGTTAATCTACGAATTGTATGGGAGATTTTGTCAACAATAATTTTGTAAATAGCGTTCGTTTTGATAAAATGGTCAGTTTTTAAGATATATGAGAAAAAAAGGGCGAAAATTTTTTTTGTTCTTTTTTTTGTTGTTGTAACTTTCTCTATGAAGCCCACCTGTTTTAAATTAATAAACATAAAATGTGAATTCAGCACCCAAAAAACCATATAGAACCATTGAAAAAAACTTCCGGAATTTTTTTCCTGGATCAGATTCCTTGACTGGACTAATACACAAATATTAAGATGTATCTGCGGGCATGTTACATTCTCAATATTTTGAATGATGATAGGCTAATTTATGCCTATTACATTTTGATTCTCAATGAAATTTTGAATTGAAGTTTATTTTATTTTGAAATTAATTATCAGGATATCTTTCAGAAACATTTGTAGATTTCCATTTACAATTTCTTTTCAAAATTTAACGTCACCGCAGCATCATCTAATAATATCATTGAATTTCCACAAAAGTCATGACCAGTATACAAAGTGCAATTAGGAAGATTGATATAAGTAGCTATTTGTTTATCCATTTCCTAATTTATTGATCCCTTCTGTACAGTGCATTTGCAATTAATATAATTGACAAAGCGATGAGAGTTTTGTAATGTGTTGGCCATAGAATCATATATATTTTGCAAATTTCATATTTACCTGTTATTGTAAAATGGCACGACATGTTGATTTTTTTATTCAGTATACCATGACTTAAGTGGTAGATTGTGCATCCTGTACATTTCCCTGCAATTCATGTTATTCATGTCATGCACCCAAATTACACAAAATATTGCTACCTACAACAACTGTATAAAAATATATTTATGCTTGAGCATTTTGGTAAATATTATACTAGTATGTATTATATTGTAGGGCATACTATTGTTAAAAGATATATTTCATAAGGTACTTCATCTAAGAAGGCTTTTATTTCATGCGATGAAAACATTTTTGAGTTGTTTGCTTTGCACCCATTGGATTTACATCTACATGGAGCACTTAATTTTGTAACTTCTCTGCTGTGCCATTCCTGATGTCAGGCTTGTTGACAGACATCAAGAAAAGCAGGCCAACAATTACTTCACGAGTCAAATAGCATAAAACAAGTCATGTTAAGACAATTAATTAATAAGAAAAATGATTCTACCCAAAAAACAAATACTTATGATGAAAGAAATTTAAACTATTATGGTTTTTCAACATTTACATACAATTCTAATACACACAGTTGAATGCAACATTTACTAAAACGGTGACCTAAGATCAATTACCTCTTATTTTTGAGTTGTAAACTTCTATCTGGTTGGAAAAATATCTACACTTAATGAAACTAGTATCATAATGACTATGATAATGGACAGCCACCTAATAAGAGTATTATACAATGGGAGTACAAAAAATGGGAGTAGTAAATTTTGTAACACTCCTAATTTTAAAACTTTGTTGGTTACACTGACAATGACACTCTCGTATTATATTTCTGTTGTCAGAAAAGGTTTTAGACCGTGCTGCACATCATCACAATAACAGTTGAAAAGACTTTATTTAAATTTTATTTTAACATACATTTCAATATCAACAATCAACAGGACAACAATATAGTATGAAATTACTTCACAAAACTGATTAAACTGCTACGAAACATCTAAAAAAGAAACAAACATTAGATGATGTAATAAATAATTGAACATTAGAGTCATATAAGATGACAAGAAATGTACACTGGAAAATATTCATACACACAATTCTATGCCTATAATGGCAGTGAAGCATTAAAGTCACTTATATTGACTAATGACATTGATATATAAAAAAATATCCACTTGAAAACTGTGTCTCTTATAACGTGGTTGCCCACCTAAAAGACTAATCTGAAGGAAGGATTTCTTTGGCAAGTGTCATATGTATAATTTATGATTTATTTGCCTCGCAACTTTAAGTTGGAACATTAATCACACGAAATACAATGATTATCAATGCTTTTGTAAATTTCTTCGCACTTTCTGCATTGTACCACTACACTTCAAGAGTTAATCATTACACAACTACTGCAATAGAGTACAGCTGATGTTTAAGTACAAACTGAATATGTTTAGTTGCTGAATTTTTTTGTGCATTTTCAATTCAAAGTAGAAATTACTTTTATTGCTTGTAAAAATTGGAATATAAAATGATATTTTTAAAAAAAGAAGGGAAAACTCTGTCTACAAATTGCCTCAACCACATACAAATGCGACCTTTTCAATGGATGAGATATCAATGAATATATATGAACCAGTTCAGCCTCTTTTCTCTTCACAGACACATAGTATTCTAATTTTTGTTATAAAAATACACAAAATGGGAAAATCATGTTCAATATAAAAATGTATGGAATTTAATCTCCAGTGGGATTTGTTATGTACTGGAACAATCATATCTACGTGATTTGCAAGCAACTGGATAAGCAAACACATTGTCTTTTATGATGTCAAATAATGACAACTTACAATGAAACACATCTAAAGAAACATTGTATCTCTTAGCAAATGGTTATTTTGGCAAATACACAGACAATAACTCATCTGCAAATACGTCAATATCCAGCCCGATGGAGTAACATCTTGTAATAACGTTGAACGTAGTGGTTGTTGGAAAGGCCAACTGAAGCCAGCAACACAATGTATCCAAGGATGAAAGTCAAAAGTTTGTGGTTTCCAAGCCAGTTGAGAAGGGAACTGCTCCTTTCTCTGTTTAAAAGAAGAATGCAACTTGTATATCTGAAAGTACATTAACAAACACAAAAGGTAAACAGGGGGGCAAAAATTCTTCAAATCATCTTTATACACAACCATCACTACCTGCACACTTCAGTCAGATCTGTGAATTTAAAGGAGAATAGTGATGTATATATTATTTATAATGGAAGTGCAACTAATGCAAGTAGTGAAGGAGTGGTGTTTCTTATTAAGAAAGAACTACAAGATCTTATGAATTTTAAATCACAGTTTAATCCATTAAGGACCATGCATTGAAATAATATTTTTTAACAATATTATGCATTTACTCTAATATTGCATTAGAAAAGATAAAAAATCATTCATAATTTGTTTCAAACAAAACATTCCCACTGTCTGTGAGGGAAAAAATTTGCATTGAATTTTTGGCTTGATCAAAGGAAAGAATATCTGGAGAAGTCAGACTAATGCAGAACTAGAACTATTCAAATCACCACAAATAGTTATATGAAGGTATTTTAAAGAAAACACTGGAAAGGGTGATCCTAATAATCAAAAAAATTAAGAGAGAACAGTTACAAAGATATACCTAAAGATCACTGGCCAGCGGAAGAAGTAGGAATAGGCCAAGATTAAGATGGAAAGGTGAGGTACAGGAAGATATCAGAATCATTAGAGTAAAAAAAAGAGGCAAATAAAAAAAACAACACAAAAGACATAGGGATATTGTAATAAATGAAACCCTGGCAAAACTACTAATGTCCGTGAGCTTACAGTAGAAGAAGGCAATTAGCACTCCCTATTAATACATAATAATATAATGATACATTTGGGTGCAGAGCCTATATTAAAGATGCAAAATTTCTTAGCTGACCTAATGCTGCTTCTAAACGCGGCCTTAATATGTTGATACTCTTTTTGTGGAGTATTGGTAAGTTTATGGTCATTGAACATCCTATTCCACCATGAAAATTTATTGATTTTGTGCTGGAAAAGGAGGACAAAATCAATACAGTCGAACCCAGTTATAGTGAACTTCTGGGGACTAACGCTTTTGGTTCACTATGTCCAAGGATGTGAAAATTCAAATGAATTTCTCCATAACAATTGACTTTGTTATAATAGAGGTAGAGCCATAACTGCATAACTGTAAATACATTAACTGCACAAGCTGAAAATTTCAATATATTTATTTGTCCTTAAAAAGTCAATTATTTTCCATTACTTGCTTCATACTTTTTCATTAGTAATAGATCCTTCTCCAGAGTTTATGCTCTCTCAATACTTGATTTTTTATTGTCTCCGTGTTGAAGTATTGCAATGTAACTTTGACACTCTTCAATGCCTCTTGCATTGTTGATTGTGGCAGTCACGTACTTCCTGTTGCCTACGCAGAACTCAGCACGCTTTGTCCCCAGAAGTATCAAATAACACCAAGATTGAAACAAGCAAGCAATCCTGTGTTGCCACTGACAGTTGAAGTCCACGCAGGACACAGTGTTTGTTTCTACAGTGCAACTGAGTGGCATAAGGTTATCAGTAAGGTACCCATTCCTGGTCCCCTACCTTCATCTCAGGGGAGGCTTCTTCTTCGGTTACGATCTTTGACAACATTTTTTTCAAGGTACTAGTGCTGGAATTTGTACTTGTAGCACTGAGCCAACACACTCTTTTCCAAGAGGGAAATACTTTCTAGGACGTTGTATTTCCTACATTCACTATGGCCCAGGTTCAGGTTCACTATACCTGAATTTTCTCATTCTTATTTGTAATTCAAATGAAATGGGTCCAGTGATTTAAGTTCACTGTAAACAGGGGTTCACTATATCCTAGTTCACTATAAGCAGAGTTGACTGTAGATGCCACATAAGATGTAGTTGTAGTAATATTATATTTAACTGAAATCAAGAGAAAAGATTACCTTTTCCCACTGGTACGCCGACAATAAACAAGAAGGTGTCTCACTCGAACCAAATCACTGTTCACAACTACATAATACTTCTTGGGCACTTCTCCTCCAATGCTGTCCGTGTTTAAAGCCCTGTTTTTATCAGAAGCTGCAACACATTTTAAAATGTACTAATAGGCTCTGACATTGAAGCAATAACATTATACATCAATCAGAGCTAGTTTGGGATAGGGTGTACCGATGGATTGCAAGGTAAAGGGAGGCTCCCAAGTATCATCCAATAAGGCTCCACTGGCATGCACCACTTCTACATTTACATTATTACCTAAAACAAAATAAAATATTAATAATTTGAATATATTAATAAAATTTAAACATGATTAATGAACTGAATCTTGTGACCACAGTATTCAATACCGAATGATTTGAATTAGACAATAAAACATATTTTTAAATGATGTGTCTTTTGTATTTGGTTGGTCTAATATGAATTGTTTCTCCTTAACTCAGATTATACCCAATTAATTAAATTTTATATTACATTTTACTTTATTTAATAGGCCTACACATTCTCTAATACTGTGATTTATTTCTGCATTTATAATAACAATAGTAATAATTTTGTTTATGTCCTTTGAAGATTTGATGCCATTATTGTATGATACGGGTGATTACTCAATAGATTCCTTAAAACAATAGTTGAATGTTCACAAGGTCAAAACATTAACTGAGTGACTTCATGAGTCTAATTTATGAATTTCCACAAAACAAACAAAGCAATGAATTCAATGGGTTTTGTCGAAACAATGGATTACTCCTAGACAGTCTGTACTGTTTAACTTTGGAACTAGTCAATTACTAGACAGAAAATTTTATTGTGTCATGTTTAGAGACATAATCAGATGCCTTGTTAGATGTTGTTCTCAAGTTAGCAATTAACTCACAAATATTTTTCATCATTAACACATTTTGTTATATATAGCAGATAATTTATCTACTGTATAATATCTTAATCTAACTGTAACAAGTATTGTATTTCTAGGCCAGCAAATGCTGAGATGGCCCCTTGTTTGCTCCTGAACAGTAATATAACTTCGCTCTCTCCACCCAAGGCATCATATTGACTCGTCATACACGATTGTAATTGTATATGTGACTCAATAAATATATAGTTTACAACAAAACTTTTGATAATTCATTAATTTTCTGTGTCCTATTTTGTCTTGATTGAAGTGAATAGGGAAACTTAAAAATATCCAAAATTGAAGTTTCAGAATTAACCCCATTAAATTCACAATATTTTGAGAATTGTAGAGCACTTAAATGTAAATGACAAGTTATAAGTTACCTTCACTCTGGCACTTAACATCAGGATGATCAATCATTTCACACAGAGCAACGCAACTCATCTGATCTCCCAGGAGGCTTCTACCCCAACCATAACCCATTGGGCTATATGGCAGACTCACAGACAATTCACTAGATAAATAAATTCCTCGGCCAAATAAAGCATTCTGTAAAATAAATATTTTAAAATTATAACAGGATGGAAAAAACGATTTATAATATTGTTACTATTACCTTAGTTAAATGTTGCTGAAGACCATGATGGAGTATGGAATGAAAATTTTCCAAACGACTACCATGGAAAGCAAAGAGAGTTTTTCTTCCCTTTCGGAGATCTTCCCATCTTATTTCTTGTACACTGTTAGAGGTGCTATTTAATTGGAAGATAAAATTTGGAGGTTGAACTGGGGTTTCACAATGGACTTGATTCAGAACTAAGTTAAACTGAAAGGAAAAATACATAAAGGGACAAATTCTCATTTTCTTTGTTTTTAAAAATTTCCAACACTTCAATATAAAGAATTATTACCTCCTTCTTTTGTACAGATTTTAAATGATAATCTTTAAAATGGGCCAAAACCCAAGTCAAGAGATCAATAACCACTGGATTGGTGTGATATACATCAGGATCGTGAAGATGTTGCAAAAGGACAGGTAGTGCAGGCGTTTTGTCAACAACTTCCCGCTATAAACAACAAACATTCATGGGTCTTTAAGATATCGATATAACTTAATTTGGGGTCTTGACAAATTGTACATACCAGGCCATCAATATCCTTTGTGTCGCCTTTCATAAAAAGGGGCGGGAATGGTTTAAGGCAAGAATCGTATCGATAACTTTGACAGGCAGCTACAAATAAACTCCATTTTACATCTGCTGATGGAAGATCGCTCTCAAGAAGTCTTCTTAGAGTCACTAATTTGTTTTCTTGAAGACGCTGATTTGAACTTTGACTAGTATTATTTTCATATCCCGCTGCAGAAATTTTTGAAACATTTGCGGATGAACTGGCAAAAGGTTGATTATCGTCTCCTTGCATTATGTATTGTTTATTTCACCGTAGAAAATAAGAATGCAATAATTCTGAGATTAATCAGAAGAATTATCATAAAGTATTACAGCCATTGGTGCACTTGCTCATCGTTTTAACGTGACACCACTACCACACCTACTATCAACTAAACTGTAACACTTGCATTTGGAGTACATACTGATTTTTTATTGAAACGTTATGTTTTCAATGATTCCATGCCAATAATATCAGAAAATGCATTTTTTAGGTCTTCAATTCCAATCAACAATCGACGAACATTCTTGAGCAATTAGATACGATATACTAACACGTACAGTATGAAATGAAGTGCGTATTGGTGGATATGCATTAAAGAGTCATGGGGCGTCTAGCTCAGCAGTCAAACCTGTATACTTTATGTCCAGCGTGTCAATTGCAATGATGAAGCATGACTTGAAGCTTTTCAGGAAACTTTGATAATTGCCAAAAGGATGTGCGCAGTTCATTTTAATAACTCCGCGTAGTATTAATATAACTATTTGTTCCCAAAAATAAAACACCATTTTGATTTAAGAATTATGACTCTAGAAGTAAATAGCATAATAAATGTCACAAATGAATACATATTTATTTATAAACGTAATAGTTTTCCCAATTCAGATTTAAATGTACTTTATTATATATAATTTAAAAAGACGACATAAGTAAATGTGGGGGTATAGCTCAGTGGTAGAGCATTCGACTGCAGATCGAGAGGTCCCCGGTTCAAACCCGGGTGCCCCCTCGCCTATTTTATTTATTTTTTGGTGAATTCCTTTTGGAAGTAAATAGTAACTACAGAAGTAGGTTATTATGTTCTGTCCATCAGCAAGTTGTACATCACCGTTTTATTAATCTCTTGAAATAATATTCATTTTGAGACGACGGTTTTCGTTCTTCTTTTGTTATTACACTGCCGTCATTGAGGGTAATGGCCACTATGTGGAAAGTGGTACGTGTCGTTTTTAATTGAAAGATAATCTGCCCCTTCCAGACTAGTGCGGTAAAACAAGATTTACATGAAAACATAAATATTAAGTCTCTACGATGAATTACAACGCGTCTTCAGGAGCAAGACATCGTAAGTGTAGGTGGTCGCAATAATATAAAATGTGGTGAAGTCTTGTATTTTTTACTAGTTATTCTGGTTTTGATTGTCATGCTTTCTATGATCGACGATAATTTTCATATTATTTCGCTTTCGTGCTCAGACTTGTTGACTATGTTTAGTGATAACCCCAATGTTCGCAATCGTGTAATAAACTCGCGTCCCTTTTTGAATGGCGTTCAGTTGCATTTGTATTTAAATTATGGATAACTGTTATTTCAAAAGTAAAGCGTGTTTGAGGCACGAATACATCATCCACTTAATGATTTGCCCTTGGTTACACATTGTTGAATTTTAAAATTTTGCAAATTCATCATTAGTTATGGAATTCAGTTAAGTGTTCATTTGTAATGAGTTCCATTTCTTCTAGTTTTTAGATTCGGTAGATGTATTGAGTAGATTATAGTCCCTGCACTAGTTTCAAAAGCATGTAACTAAAAGCATGGCCCTCACCACTCTTGTACTGTTGTGACTGCCTTGATGTTGTAATGCTGTAAAGTAACTTAGAGTTGTTTTTATTTTGTATACTTACAAAATTATTCTTAAAATGCCAATTGTAGTACATTTTATCAAGAGCATATATGTTTTCTTACAGCTGCACAGAAACCATCAGGGCGAAAGAAGAAGCATGTGGGTGATCCATCCACACTTGGCACATACACTCCTCTTCCATATAATCCTTATGCTGTCCCACCTGTCTATGATGAACGTAGTGCAGGACCTCCTCCCCCATATGGATACTCTCCCCAGGGTAAGCATATTTGGGAATGATTTCCAATTGTCATGATCACGAATAATTGTCAAAATATTGTGTTTTTTGTAGATTACCCCCAACAGGCCCCACTTTATGGTCAGCCGCAAGGAAATTATGGCCAAACTCCTCAAGGATTTTCCATTCCAAGTCAGTTATTGAACGAACCTGTGGTTACAAACATGGCAATGCAATATGGACAAGCATTGGTGGGATCAGGCAAACAGATGGTTGATAGAGAGCTTGGAAAATATATTCCAGTTTCCCGTCTAAAGTACTATTTTGCTGTTGATACTACTTATGTTACGAAGAAATTAGGACTTCTTCTTTTCCCATTCACTCACTCTGTAAGTATACTTCTTTAAGATTTACATTCTTTTTTTTATTGAAATTAATTTCATCAGTTATTTATTGAGATTTAATTCAATACCAAATGTTAATTCACAATAGGAAAGAATGAATTGGATGGCATTCTGAATTAGTAATCTAAGTGTTTTTTTAGAAAATCACAATATTTTCTGGCATATTGGAAGATTTATTAGATGTTAGCAAAATCAAAAATTTTCATTTCAATTATCTTTCAAATTCTAAGAAATTGTGAGGGGTGTCTAAAAAATTTCATTGTATTCTTAGACTTCAAATGTGTTTTTCTTGCATAGTTGAGAATGTTACTTGGCCATATTTATCATAATGCTTTCCAATTACAAGTTGGAAACTTCTATTTAGATTTATACTCTTACTTCATAGGATTGGTCTGTGAAGTATGAACAGGATGAACCTGTGCAGCCTCGTTTTGAGATTAATGCTCCTGATTTGTACATACCATTAATGGCATATTTAACTTATATTTTGCTGGCAGGTTTAATTCTCGGTTCACAAAGCAGGTGGGCAATTTAATTTTTCACAAAATATATATTGTTTTAAATGGTTAATAATATTTTTTTCATTTTGTTTGCTTCAAAAATTTCTAGATTTAGTCCAGAAGTGCTTGGTATACATGCTAGCTCAGCATTAGCATGGCTTGTGCTGGAAGTGGTTGTTGAACTCGTAACATTGTATATAATTAATATTGAAAGCAGTTTGAAGACTTTGGATTTGGTGGCTTTTGGAGGATATAAGTATGTTGGGTAAGTGTGTTTAAGTTAGCGCTTATCTTTTAGTTGGTTAATTTTTTAACATTGTTGGGGGTATGTATAGCATTATGCTTTAACATAATAAATATCAAAGCATCTCTCTTTTGATTTTGTGGCCTTTTGGGGGGAGAGGGCTATGGTAATATTCTTTATCGGTTTGTTATTTGGTTGACATTGATTTGCTGTAATATTGTTAAATGACTGTCGCATGTTCATTTGCAGAATAATAGTGGCTGTGCTTCTTAGTCTGGTATTTCAAAGAACAGGATATTATTTAGGAATTCTGTACTTTGGAGCAGCCTTGGCATTCTATTTGGTAAGTTAAATACTATTTGAGATACTTCAAAAATTTATATCTGCTATCTGTATTTATTTAATTTAATTTTCCACAAACATTTTTTAACAATTTTGAGTAAACACAACAGTGGGTATAATTCACATAGACATCGTAATAAATATTACTATTTTTAATTTTATTTTCTACTCCAGTAGATTAATTTCATATTCAGTTTATTTGACAAAAAATACTTACTTTACTTGAGATTTAAACACAAATGATTTGTTGAAAGAGTGTCTTAGAGTTTTAGAGAATGTTTGTTTTTAATCTCTGGAAACCATTTTTGGCAATGATCTTGGTGCTGCATCTGGTAAATTTATATTTTTAATTTTTTAAGCTAATAACTTGTCTTTCTGCAGATTCGCACTCTGCGAATTCAAGTTCTGCCTGAAGGTGCTGCTCAACATGATCCTTATGGAAACAATGTTTCATCAGGAAGCAAGAGAAGGCTGTACTTCTTGTTGTTTGTTGCTGTAATTCAACCAATTCTGATGTGGTGGTTGTCTGCTCATTTGATTTCTGTACCTTCTGCCTAACACATTCCTTTTGTTATTGACATGCTTAAAACTGTAATGTTTCCTGTTATTCTTCCATTTGAAAATGTATTTGGAACTGAATAACTCAAGATTTGACTTGTTTTATTATTGGAAAAGTACCTTTATAATACAGTAATGTTTCAATACTTGCCCAACAATTGTAAAATTGCAATGCTTTAACTGACATATGTTGCTGAGCTTTGTTAGTGAACAGTGCAATAGTTTACAAAATTGTGTTGTGTATATTGTGTTGTGTACATTGGTTATTCTGGACTGTTAAAATGAGTCATCTTTAAGTTACCAGTATTTGTATACTGAAAAATATTGATATATTTTTGTAGATATGTTTTAATGGACTACCAAGGGAGAGTTTTCTGTCATCATCAATGTTAATTTCTCTCTTGTTCACCTTGTACAGTTGTGTGCGGCTTGTTTTATGTAGTTTTCAGCAGTTGAGTTTTCCTACATTCTTTTCAAATTTAAACATTCTCTTTTTATATCACTATGCAGTCTACTAAAATAAAACATTGAGCTACTGTTGATTATATATTGAACTTGATAATACTAAGGTATTAAATATTACTAGTGAGCAAGAGATTGTGAACAAAGGATAATTTTTGTACCATATTTATAATGTATGAAGAATACATACTGTATTTAATAGATTTTGTGCGATTTATTTTGTCGATATACTTGGAGATGAGTGTGATTCTTTCTTAAGCTACTAGAGGTCAGGACGAGTATTGGTTGAGGAAATTAAGTCTGGGACATCGCCGCAAGATGGCATTAAAAGCATGGTCGTAGCAAGCGCTCTCTTTGAGCAAGAACAGATAACTCCACATTCGCTGGTATGGTGAGGTTGGGTTAGTCGGTGTAAACATGGCGGAGAAAGCGAACAAACCGCCGCCGATTGTGGCAATGAAGCCCGTGCCGATGAAGCTGTTCGCCACCTGGGAAGTGGATAGGACACCACCGAATTGCATCCCAAGGTAAAGCAAACATCTGTTCAATTTGTATAGTTTCGAGTGTAATTTTCACTGACAATGAAGTAGTGTTGGAATGTCACTGACGTTCGTTGACATTGTGGATGGACCAGGGTTTAGGCGTTGGCGGTAAAACTCAATTGTCCAATAGCATTTCACAAACTAGTTTAAGAGTTCATCTCGAGGTAATTTCCAGATATAAATATTAATTTTCAGTCGTTTGTTTATGGACGATTTCTTTGTAATGCATTAGTTCATTTCACTGACCTCCCGTACCGCGTTGTCGGTACTTGGTCCATTACCGGAGTTTCCTATTGGCTCTTAGGAAACTGAGGATATTTTGGATGTATCTATCACTCTGAACATGTGGATAAGTGTTCATTGTATCTGCGACAATTGTTGTGTTAACTGTTTTCAAATATTAGGGAGTTGTAAATCGTCACTAGTGATTTTGTTTATTTCATTTCATCTTGACATATAAAGGATTTGCTGTTTGCAACAGTGTATTTTGTTACGGTTAATGACACATTTTCATAGTGGATATGGTTAGAAACAGTTTAAATAAAGGTATTTACGTGCAACGTGTTCAGTGCATTGCGATATTTCGCAGTATTAAACTCCCTTTTTTCTTCATGATTTGAATTTAATGAAGAGTTAGTAAACGCAAGTTAGTAATGAAGTTTTACACAGCACTGGCGTATGATCAGTCACGTTTATTATTGAAGCTATTCATTAATAGCATTCTTAGGTGTAATAACTGTAACGAAGCGCTAGGCTTGTAGTGTTCTGAAGAAGACTCCTTTACTTTCTTTGCGTTTTTTGTTAGTTGAGGTGCAAGTTGGATGGCGCAAGCACGTGCATCGTCCTTTGGACGTTATTTCTAGAAATGCTGCATCCAACGTTTCCTGTTCGTATTGTAATAACATTGTTTCCGCCGATGACAGCGGCTGTTGTGTGATGGGCGAATTTCTAGTGTTTCTCCCACAATTTGAAATGCACTTACCGCCAAGTGGGGTAAATAGGACAGTGGGGTAACTGGTACGTTTTGACATTGTACTCATTCCTTGATTTCTACTGCTCCAACAATGTATTGCGAAATTTGGCAGTTACTTGAGAAATCCAAAAATATTAATGTTATTATGATTTTAAAGTGTAGCTTTTTCAACCCTGTTGTCGATTTGGTGACTTGCTGAGTGTGCTTTCTGATGGATTTCGGGTTGGTCGTCGGAGTGTTTCATTGCAATTACACTTTATGGTTTTAGACATGTTAGATCAGTATTCTAGCCATACATTGACATACATTGTTTTATTAACCGTGTACTTATTTTGTTTTCTATTTAATGTTTTGTGGATTGGCGTTAAATTGTAATAAAAGAAGCTCGTGAGGTGATATTAGGATACTATTTATTTAAATATTTTTGATTGAATTAGATGCGCCCCGCCACTACGTAAAAATGGTGGAAAAACATTTAGAAAGCATACAGAAGAGTAAATTTAACGTTGAATTGACTGGAATAAGATAGAAAACATCTATAGTTCAGCTGCAGAAAGTACTATTTTATTTAAGAACAACCCTTTTTACAAATTATTCAATATATATTTGGTACTAACATGATCAAGCAATGGAAAAAATCTCACAACTATTGGAAATAGCCTCATAAAGAATATTCATTGTAGTAAAAAGTAAGTGACGTAAAAGAGAGATTGCCTATTCCTACAGAAGTTGGAACAAGATCAATCTTCGGGGGTTAACATGAAACGGCAATTAAAAACAGTTTTTAACTTTGTTTCTAGTCACTTGTGTAAAAAAAGAACAAACCTTTTTCAAGATCCAACAGTAATTATATTTTTTCTAACACTGAAAAAAGCTAAGTACTATTCGGAAAGTAGATGCTAGGCACATATTATTTTACAAGTTATCTTCAAAACTGGAATTTTGTCCCATTATCACCCCCATACTTCTTCTAAATCGTTGAATTGTGAGAATCCTCGATTTGAGGGTTGATACCAAGTAATTCATTGGAATTTGAAAAGCGCTTCTTAACTACCCTCCGTCACTCGTCTGTAGAGTGTTTGATGAGGACGGCCTGGATCAGTGTCCTCTACTGTCCTGGTTGTTTGTCTCTTCTAATTATTTGGTTGGCCAGCTGCCTCCCGTTCCCCAGAGGGCTGGGGGTGGGTAGGGCTAGGATGTTTTTAGTGTTGTGACGGGTTATTTCGTTTAGGGTTTAATCTTTTTAGGGGGGGTTGAAGGATGGTAGGATTTTTGGGGGAGGGGGGGATTGAAGGGTTATTTTGTTGAGGGTGTTGTTGGTGTTTCTAGGATATTGATTTGTCGGGTGTTTTGTAGGTGTGTGTGTGGGAGGGGGAGGGAAGTTGGAGGATATCTAGGGGGTGCTTTTTCCTGGAATGACGCGGAGGGGAGTTGAGAATATGTTGAGACACCGTGTCTTGCCAACTAACGTCGCCTGACCCAGCGGTTTCTCACACTCTACTTCGTTTTCGTAGTACTGTACTTATATGTGTTTACTGAGTTTATAAAGCTTACATGACTAGGCATCGCACGGCTGGAGTTGTGATCCTTAGAGCTGGTCTCCAGGCGCAAGCCACTTTCCCAGTTCCTTGGGTCGTTTGACAGTTGCTAAATGAACTAACTCTACACAAAGAAATCACTAGGCGAAAATACAAAGCATACATTTTTTGGAAAAAAGAAACTACACTATAGCTACCCTCTTAACTCCGAACTTCTCTCAATGCCCCTCAACCACCATTTCTCACTCCGTCTTGAATTCGACCCCTGTTTCTGGATGTGAAGTTCATCGCAAGGTTGAAACCTTACCGACACATCATACTGGGGAAAACATTTCAACGAGACACGGGATTCAACATAACTATTCTTGGATCCGAGTTCTGGACTTTCTAACGTAAGAAATGAATCTATTGTAATCGTGCGTCGGAAAACGGCGAATTTTCGACCCAAAAATTTATTTCTGTAAGATTCCCGATAGCATCACCTTTATTTTCCGCAATAATTATTAGGATTTTAAATTATATTCATGTTTACGTTCATTCTCGATTAGACGTACACTTTTTTTCCTTAAAACATTCGTAGTATTCATACATTGCTCGCACTAAGTTCGTTATTGATGGTGAGTACTAATTAATACATCAGTTATGATTCATAGCTCATCATTATGATTCATGGAGCAACGACAGCAGAGTGGAAATTACCACATAACATTTTTCTGTTCTGCTAAGAAAACAAGAGCGAGTCATCGATTAGATGCCCTTTAGCAACTTGATTTGACCCCAAAGAAAAAGGTGAATGCCCATTCCTGGACAGAAGCTTTAAAGAACTTCCTTGTAACCGCATAGTGTGAAAATAACTACTAGGAAAACTACGACTCAAAATGGTGTTTTTCAAATAGGAACAGCAAGCTTTACCAATTCATGCGCTTGCAGAAAGGATATGGTGATCTAAATGTAATTCTTCTGAAGTTCTCGATTCTTGCACGCGGAATTGACGACGATATATGTACAGGTGTCCCTATATGTTCGTAAAAATGCATAGTATATGAAAGAAGACATTAAATTAAGTCGAAAAGATTAGTACAGTTATGTGTATAATCCCCGCAGTTTCCATGCAAACGCATCTTGAAAAATGTGCAAAACGTTTTAGTCATCGTATTGGCCTGAACTTTGTTTAAGGTGCCATTCAGCTTATCGCACTGCAGTCAAGCTGCACTGAGGAGAGGTACCAATGTAGGTTGGTGAGGCCTGGCACGAAGTCGGCGTTCCAAAACATCCCAAAGATAGGATTCAAGTCAGGACTCTATGCAGGTCGGTCCATTACAGGGATGTTATCGTCGTGTTGCCACTCCGCCACAGGATGTGCTGTATGAACAGGTGCTCGATCGTGATGAAACGTGCAATCACTATCCCCGAATTGCTCTTTAACAGTGGGAAGCAGGAAGGGTTTTAACATCAACGTAGTATGCCTGTGTCGTGATTGAGCCACACAAAACAACCCGGGGTGCAAGCCCACTCCTTGAAAAACACGACCACACCGTATCACAATTTTGGACATGTCCGGATACTTTTGATCGCATAGTGTTTATTAACTGTTTAGCGTTTAGCGTTAACTGTTTGGCTGATGGACACCGTGTTGAGGGTGCAGCCCGCCACGCCTTCTGCAGCGGAGGCTGAAGGGGCGAAAGAGTCACCGCGAATCGAGGGGGCCGTGACTTGCGCTTCGCCTTATGATCCCGAGAGGGTGCCCTTCAATAGCGTCTAATGGCCTTTGGATTAAGTTTTAATGGTTTCGCCGCGACTTGTTTTGTGTCTCTTCCTATGGGGAAAAAGAGAAATGATTCCACTTGATCTATAAGAAACGAGTACGATTATGGACTTATGACCTCCTCAGAAGAGACTTGTAAGCTTATTTGTGAATCTTTAAAGCGAAATGTTCCCTACCCTTTTATACACACAATCTCCTTTTAGTTTTCTTATGACGATTTTTTCCCCCGTTCCATGAAGGGAGAAAAAAAAGAGAAAGAAACGAGAGAAAAGACAAGCCGCTCGTAATAAAGCTTGGCCCATAATAAGCTGTCTCGGGTTTTGAAACTTAGCTGGTAAATTACAAGCGAACGCATTGTTCCTTTTTAATAGAAGGTAGCTTTGATAATGGCACGTTAATTACCCCACCAAGCACCCGGCCACTGTG